TGCCCGGGCCGAGCGTGCGGCTGCGGCCTCGATCCCCTTCCCGGGGGAAGGCGCTTGGACCGGAGCCGCCTGTAGGGCACTCCCGGGCCGTGTAAAGCGCCGCTTCACCGCGGGTTGAGCGTGTGCCTCCAGCAAGAGGGAGATCACTGGTGATGTTATAACCGATTTAACGTTTCAGACATTGTGGCAGTATTTTCACACCGTGACTTCGGATATATTGACTTTGCAGGTCAGAATGGCATCAGATGAGGGAAAACTCTTTGTCGGTGGACTGAGTTTTGATACCAATGAGCAGTCATTGGAACAAGTCTTCTCTAAATATGGACAAATTTCTGAAGGTAAGATCGCAGTGCCAAGCTGTGATGACTTCCACAGATTCAGTAGCACACACGGATGCTGATGCTTTTTTCCTTCCTCCTCTTTATAGTTGTTGTGGTGAAAGACAGAGAAACTCAGAGATCCAGAGGTTTTGGCTTTGTTACTTTTGAAAACATAGATGATGCTAAGGATGCAATGATGGCCATGAATGGAAAGGTAAGGAGGCTTTGGAGCAGCTTTATTTCCTAGGACATAAGAGAAGCACAAAAGATATTTGTGTAGAAAACCAGATAAATCTTGGTGTCTTAAAACAGTGAAATGATAAATATAATGAAGAGCATAAATTGCTGAAGTTCTGTGACTTCACTTACATGACTGAAAAACAGTGATGTTTTAAGGGAATACTTGTATATACATGTCTGAGAATCGGTTTACTCGTGTAGTTGGCTTAGTTCTGGTGTGAGATAAAACCTTTGCTTGGAAGAACTAGTACATTCTGGTGCTGCTTAGCTGACAGTGAAGGTGTGTAACTCACTGTGTAGGTGTTTTGCTGTTTAAAAGTTTAAATACCAACTTGTCTTATCTTGTTCTGTTTGTTAGTCTGTAGATGGACGTCAGATCAGAGTTGATCAGGCTGGAAAATCATCAGAGAACAGATCTCGTGGCTACAGAGGGGGCTCTTCTGGGGGCAGAGGCTTTTTCCGTGGCGGCAGAGGTCGGGGCCGTGGCTTCTCCAGAGGTGAGTGTGCACGCAGGAGTTGCAGTGCCTGAACCTGTAACGGCAGTTGTCAGAACGCTTAAAAACCCCCTGATGTGGTGTCTGTTCAAGGAGGTGGAGACAGAGGCTATGGTGGAAGCAGATTTGATTCCAGAAGTGGGGGATATAATGGCTCCAGAGACTACTATAATAGCAGGTAAAGTTGTCACGACCACTAGTGGGTTGTTGGAAAAGCTCTCAAAGGCCGCTGCCTGTTTGACATGAAAGTCAATAGGCTCCAGAAGCAGTAGAACAAATATAAAGCACATGAATGTTTTTAACAGCAGGAGTCAAGGTGGCTATGGCGACAGGTCTTCAGGAGGATCCTACAGAGACAGCTATGACAGTTACGGTAAGTCTTGGTTCAAATGGGAGTGATGAGTACGTATGCTGTAGGAACTCTCTAAACCTTCTGACCCTGTACTTGAGTCTGGAAATACTGTAAGGCTCAGTTGGACTGTACCACTATTTCTGTTCTTGCCCGTAAGAACCAATCTGCCAGGCTTTGGACGTGGTTGTGCCATTTAAATTTCTAATTTGTAATGCATGTGTAGGAGTTGCTTGGATCTAAGGCAAAGCAAGTTTTTAAAATACGTTCCTCGAGCTTGAGACTAAGACAAAACTCGGATGCCCTAACAAACTTTAATCAAGGGTGGGGGAGTTCTCTTACGGTGTAGCGAACTAGCACTAGCTTCTGAAATAATGCAAGGGAGTAAAATGCTGGAACTTGTCTATGCTTCAGTGCCTTTACAATTGTGCCTGCTTCTTGTCCTCAGCTACACACAACGAGTAAAAATCCTTCCTGACTCAAGATCGTCCTTCCAATGGCTGTATTTATAAAGATTTTTGGAGCTTCGCTGAAATCGTTATTGTGTAGTACATCTACTTGTATTTTCACTTTTGTAGTATTATCAGTTCTAATCTTGTCAAACACAGCCTGACAGCTTCTGATATGAGATGGTCTGATTAGACTTTTCTTTAAGAAAGCTTTGCTTTCAAGTGTTTTTAATCTTTTTTGAAAGCACTTCAGATTTTATTTTATCCTTCATGATGAGCCAAGGTGTTTTTTTTTTTTTTAAAGTTGGTGAAGTTGGGGCCCCAATTCAGTTTCTTTTGAGATAGAAAGGACCTTTAATTCAATGTTCACTGGAAGCTGAACAAGCTGTGGACTTTTTTTAAGTGCATTACCTTCGTCTTTTGTAACATTCCTTTAGTGTAGCAAGGTAGGAATGCAGCCTGGGTACAAATTGGAAGGCAAACCACCTTGATATATCTAAAGAGAAACTTGCTTGTATGTTCAACCTGCATAACGGTATTTTTACTGTTGTAATGATGTAAATTACCCAGAAATAGACTTGCAAACTTACCATAAAAGAGGTTCTTGAAAATGTTTATTTATATTGTCCTTTTTTACTGGAAGAAATATGCATATTCCATTGATATTGTATTTGAAGTGGTAAAGGATTCTTGTATACAGTTTTCTTTGGCTTTACGAAGCCTATTAAAAGACCGTCTGAAATGAACTCTGCTCCTGACATTTACATTTCATTGCACAACACAACCCTTGAAGGTGAAGAACAGTCTAAGTAAGAGGATGCCAGAGGAGAGGAGAAGACTAGCGATAGCGTAAGAGCGAGCCAGATGTATTGACCAGTTGCTAGAGTTTAATCTTAATCGGTCTTGACATGTGAATTCGTCAACATACTTTCACATAAGAATAGTCAGACTTGACTAGAGGCAGAGGACTGAAAGCATATACCTTAGGATGTTCTAGCACGCAAAGCCTAAGTCAGAAGTCAAGGGAATGCTGGTGTTAGGTAGGATAATGGATGTTTCCTTAAAATACTGAAATAGCCTGCACTGAAAAGCTGTAGTGAAGAATCAGTCCTTTAGTAACTGGACTAGTTACTAGCTTGACAGGAGTGTTCAATGGTAGGTAAATTGCCGTAATTAGCTAGCTTTGTCATTGCCTTACAAGTTCTAAGAATTCTTTGCTAGCATATGGAAACTGCAGTGTCCTTGGAGAAAAGAAGTGTTGTGCCTCCAACAGAAACCTCTGAGACGAAAGCTGCTCTCTTGGCTAGTTCATATGTGGAAATAGTCCTGTAATTCGAGGTAACTCCTTTTGCTCATGTCCGCATCCTTCCTCTTGTTGAGAGCTCATTTGAAAGTCTAATGTACCTGTGAAATATTCCTTTTGACAATTTTGGTCAACTGATGGAAAAATTTTAACCCATGCCGTATGCAACCTTTGGCTTGTGGCACAACTTCAGTTCCACAGATCAGAGTTGGGCATGCAGTCATGTCTTGCTAGTAGGTATGGAAGCAAGATGGGAAACGAATTCCCTGACTTGATATGTGTTCATCTATTGAGAATCTTCCTAGACTTCATTAAGTTGCTCACTTTAATTGTAGCTTTCTTTGCCATCCTACTTGTTGCCATTAACTTTTTCCCATAGCCCACACTTCCTAAGCAGCCATGTCAAAGTGGTTAACTCTCTGCTTAGGGATCAAATGATACTCTGGCTGGCATATCAAAGGCATCAGCCAGCCCTGGAACAGTTTTCCCAGACTGTGCTTCTGTGATGTGATGGGTTCAGCGAATGGCTTGTGAAACCCTCGTATATGATGTGACTTGTGTTGGGGGAGGCGGGTGGCGATGTAAAGTCTCCGCTTGATATTTTTATTAATGCATCTTTGCTTTGGCAGGCTGAAGAGAAGAGGGACACGCGATGTGGGAGCTGAGCGGGGATTCTGAGGAAGGAGAGCGTTCGTTCCGAGGAAGCGGGACCCGCGCACCAGTTTGCCAACCAGGTAATGGCTCTTGGCTCTGCCTCGCGCCCCGGAGCTTTTCCTTGGCCGAAAGGTCTGGTGCTGTTACCGTTACTCTGTGGTAAAGCAACAGTAGTTTTCTGGGTGGAAATTCCCTTTCTCTGCCTTAAAACCCACTGTCTTAATTCTTTTTCAGCAATGGAATGCACCAGAGAAGACCGAGAAGGACAGCCATTGACTGGAGTGGTGGAGACAAAGAGCTTTGAGATGATTTTTATTACAGATGAATTGAATGAGGAAATAAGTCAAATTAAGCTAGAATAAAATACTGAAATGTGGAAAAAAAAAATATCTCTGTAGTACTTTTGTGGGGAAATAAATGAGATTGTGGCCAGGGCATACAATAGAAATCTAGTTACCTGGTGTATAGCCCAGTTAAAATAAACCAGCGCTGTTCTGGTTGAGGAGGTGGGCAGAGGGTGACCTTTTGTCTTTAAGGGAGAGTTTTGAGGGAAAAATTAAATTGTCATTGTGACCTTGAGTTAAGTGGCCGATTATAATAGTTGGTGTATCTGCAAAACTTACGCAGTGGGGCAGCTACATCTGAAGGGAAGTGTCAGATGAGCAGTTGCTTAAATGAGGAGTCAGTGTTTGTGCAGAGCAGAAGCAGTTGAAATGGTAACAAAAAGTCTAATCTGTGCTTGGATGCTAAAGCTTTTTTTGACCTCAGATGATGATCTCCTTGCCTGCATATTAATTAAAACTGTTTTTGTGGTGAAAGTTGCCATGTGGTGTTCCTGCTGCTTGCAGAAGTGGCTGCACATCTGTGGAGTTTCACATGCTGCAGTTTCCGGGTGGGACCGTCGCCTGTCCTGCAGCTGATGGCTTTGCTGTGCTTAAGGACTTGGCTCAGGATAAACCTGCCCCAGGTTCCCTGCCTCAGTGGTTATTTGTAACAAAAGCAAACTTCCCAGCTTGGATTTCAGCAACTTAACTCTGAAATTGTTTTTTTACATCCTGGAATTTTTGAGTAGAGCAGCTTCACCAGGTGAAAGCTGTTCGGTGCTTGGAGAGGAGGAGTGGCAGGGGGTGAGTGTTGGAGCAGTAACCCAGCCCAGGGCGTGCTCGGGTGCTCGGCTGGAGGCCCCAGGTGGGTGGTGGGAGCGTCCAGGCATCGCCTGCGGGGTCCCGGCTGCTCCCACCCGGTGGCCGAGTGCTGGGAAGGCGCCGGCGGGGCATGGGGCAAGCTGAGCGCTGCAGCTGTTAGCTCTGCGCTCTGAGACTTGTGAAACGTTTGCCTGGGACTGAGGAGGGGCTGCACAGTCAGAACAAATCCTACTGCGGGTGTGAGTGGGAAGTCAGCCCGTGAGGAACAGCGAGTAAGCTGCCAGTTGCAGATTCTGCAGTTCTGTATTGATTCCTTTGACTCTGGAACAGAACTGCTAAGAGGCTTGGTGCCATCTTCCCTAATTAGCAGATGTTGCCTTTTATTTGCAAAGTCTCCTGTATTCCGCAGAGATTCTTCTGTGCAGAAGTTAAACTACTTGGCTTGTGTGTTGAATTAAGGTTCCCGGTTGCTGTTAACTGCTGTAATTCCGGTTGCCCTTCCCTTGCATCCAATCACCTTGTGGCTCCAGTACCTGACCTGCAGGGTCTGTGCTGGTGAGCAGTGGTGCTGGACACTAAAGCTGGGCTTTCACTCTGCAGGAGGGCAGGTAAGGCCCAGAGCAAGGGAATTCAAGTTTCTTTGCAGGATGTTTGCGCTCTGGTATCTTTTCTCTCTCTCTCTCTCTCTCTCTCTCTCTTGACCTTCACCTGCTCGCTGGTAAATACAAAGCTATTGGGGGAATTTCAGCCTTTTGTGGTAGTTGGAATATGCCGTAGAGATCAAACTTTCTAACCCCAACTCCTGGCATTTTCTCCTGCCCAGTTTGTCCCATCTTCAAAATGGATCATCAAAAATTTAAACTGGCCAAACTGCCCTTTTCTTCCTCTTCTGTACATGTGGAATACTTGTTAGTTTTTTATTTACTTCCTACCTTGTCCCTGGCTTGTACTGAAGTCAGAGGAGTGCTGGTTGCTGAATTCTTCCAGCTGCTCCTTGACTCCAGCTCTTGGTGCTGCAGAACCCTCCTAAGCCGTGGCGGCTGTTTTCTGACACATCACACTGTAACTCACACTGTCCTTAAAATTCTCTGCCCTTCAGGCTGTTGTCTGTGATACGTGACACCTGTGTCTTGCCAGGCTGCGTCATAGAGTGGAAGCAGCTTCTATTATTTATTTCCACTCTGCCCCTTCTCTGCCCGGTGCTTGGCACGGTTCCGAAATGAGGGCTGCCTCCCCGAGAGACCCGCGGTAACCGCGTGCCTTTGGCTCGGCCTGTGCGGGTGCACGTGCCTGGGGCTCATGAAAAATTAGGTCTTGCTCTTGGTTAAATCCTGAAAATGTGGCAGCTCAATAACAAGGAGGATTTACACTGCTAGAGAGGCTGACAGCTGTGAATGTATTTTTGGCAGCTTTGAAGAGAATGGGGCTGGAGGCTGCAATGTGAGACGTGAAGGCAGTAAGAGGGTTTCTGATGGGCTCTGCTACTCTCCTGCCCACCCTTTTTGTGCTAAAAGAACACAGTTGATTGCTTTATCCTGCTTTTTTATCACTGCTTTTTTTTTTTAAACTGATAATTCTCTTGCTTTTGTGCTATGCCCCACTTGAGGGACAGTCTTTTAAGAGCAGTGTATTATGCAAAAAAGTCTGGTCGTGTAACCTAAGTGTCTTTGAAGAAATTGTGTGGGTCTTGTGCCCAGTAACAATTACCGCTGCAGCGTGTTTGAAGGGCAGAATTGATTGTGTGTTCTCTAGTCCGTGCTGCAAAGCCTGGTTATTAAGGAAGGCTGCGGTGCTTTGCCAACCTACTGAGGCGTAACCACCGCTCCCGCTCTGCTGTCGCTTGAACCAGCTCTCCAGAGCAGAGAGTGATGGAGGCCGGACACTTGGCTGGTACAAACGAGCTAAATTAATGGGTGAAGCCAGCTTTAAAAACTGGTGCTCTTACTGAAATGCTTTCTCTGGCTGGGGCGTCCCAGGCACAAAGGAATTCACTCAGGGAGCAAGCAGGGCCCTGGCTAGGGAGCCATCACAATTTCCTGGTGAAATGATGAGTCCGCAAGAGCCCTGGGGTGTTCCTGCATGCAGAATGGGAATGATTATCAAGATTACTTCCCAAACCCTAGTTTTTTCTTATTTTTTTAAAACCTTTCTCAAATTATCTAAGCGAACAGCATTTAAAAAAAAAGAGATCAGCTGACACGCTTTTGGGGGCTGTATCCAGCAATTCACCAGTGAGGATTTTTACACGTTAACGGAGGATGATACTAAACACGGGGACATGAGAGTGTGAGAAACCTTTGCTGATAAAAATGCAGCCAGGTGATGTTCAGACGAATTCAAACTGTAAATACTTATAAAAGCATTATGTGAGAGACCTCCCTAAACAGGGTGCTTAAACGCAGGCAGAAATAATTAACAGACACAAAAATAGAGCCCAGGTGTCGAGGTGCTGTTATTTTGGCATCACTAATCACGGCGCTGCGTTGATTTGATGCTGAGCTTGGAGCTGGGTGGGGGGGGCTGGATGTGGAACTCTGTTACATCCTCGAGAAGGTGCTCGGGTGCTGCTGTGGCATCTGCGGGGGGTTTGGCCCATTTCCAGCCAAAATACCTTTTTTCTTCAAATCTGAGCAGCCTTTCCCGGAGAGGTTGCTCAGGGGCGAGCAGAGTTGTGCTTCAGGGTGGCTGACGGACCCCTCGGCTCAGGCTGGAGCTCCTGTGAAGAAACGAGGCACAAGGCGGGGGTTAGAAATGCCCCAGGTTCTGGTGTTTCAAGCAGTGCTCCCCTCTGCCCGGGGGAATTGCCGTCGTGGCGGGGGAATGGCGGCCCTGAGGGGAAAATGGCGGCCGGGGGGGTGAGGGT